GCGCCACCATACACTGCCGCTCCGTGCAAGTGGACTCAGACGCCCCCCACCGCGCCAGATAGTTGTTGAAGACCGCGCGGCTGTACCACTTGAAGACGCGGCCGCCGCCCCGGCCGTTGTAGCGCTCGCGGTCCGCCCCGTAGCGACCGCCATCCGCCTCAGCACCCCTGTCATCCCTGGACCGCACGCCGGCCCCCACCTCCAACGCCACCAGACCAGAGCGACCCCCCTGGCCCCGATGCTTCCTCACGTACTCCTGAATCTTGCCCAGGCACCGCTCGTGCTCGGCGTCCGTGAGCTTCCAGCGCCCCGCCTCGTCGCGCTCGCTGAGGAACCGGAGCTCCGGGCGTATCTCGGCGGCGTACCCCCACATCAAGTGGCGAGAATACCACTGCCTCGACGGCTTGGGGACGCCCAACGCCACCCTGCGGAACTGGTCCAGCTTCTTCTCCGGGATGGGCCCCGTGACGCGCCCGTGCGGGCACAACCGATGCGCCCTGCACAGGTCCGACCCCGGCTCCGGCTTACTGCCGCACTGCAGGCGGCCCAGCCCACCGCCCCAGAGCAGCGCCTGACACCTGGCCGGGTCCACGCGCGCCGGCTGGAACACCCTGCGCTCCTCCACGTCCCCCACGCCCAGCTCGAGCTCGCCGCGCCGGCCACCGCCGCGCCGCCCTCTGCCGCAGCCCCGCCCACGACCCCGCCGACCTCGTCCGGCGAGGACCGCGGCCACCTCGACGCCGCCCCCGTCACTGCTGGAGCCCAGGCTGGTCCTTCTCCGCGTCCCGAGCCTCGCCCCCGCAGCGTCGGCGCCGCTGCCGCCGCCCGGCGCCGCCCGTCCTCCAAGACGACCCCCGCCGCCCAACATCGCCTCGCGCTCGCCGCCCGACCCGGCCCCATCGCTGCTGCTGTCCAAGGACGACCTTCTCCGCCGACCACCGGCGGCGCCGCCAGGCGCCAGCGCGCCCGTCACCGCTCTGCCCCGCCCCGCGCCGCCGCGACCCCCCCCTGCCCCTCCGCCGCCGACCCCAGGCGCAGTCGTCGCCCCCCCGCGGCCGCCAGCGCCCACAAGCGTCGTGGCCCCGCGGCCGCGCCCACCCACGGCGCCCCCGACGCTGCTGCAGTCCACCGAAGAGCGTCCCTGACGACGACCATCGCCGCCCCCCTCCGCCGCCCGCTCACGGCCCGGCACGCCATCATCGCTGCTGCTGTCCAGAGACGAGCGTCTGCGCCGAGCTCCGCCGCCGCCCGGCGCAACGCCACCCATCGCCGCCGACTCCTCTGCCCGCCCCGCAGGCACCAGAGATCGCCCCGCGCCGCTGCAAGGAGCCTGCCGCCCTCCAGGACCACCGGGAGCCACGCCGCCCACCCCGCCCACGCACTCCAGAACCCCGCCGCCGCCAGTGCCGCCGCGCTCCGCCGCGACGACGCCCGACGACGCGCTCGCCGCGTCGCCGCCGCCCGCGGGCCCAGCAGCGCCAGCGCCGCCACCGGTCGCCTCCTCGCCTGCCGCTCCGGCAGCCCCCTGGCCCGGGCGCCGCGCCCGAGCTGCAACGCTCGTCAGCGCAACAGCGTTGCCAGCCCCACGAAGGTGAGCCCCTCGTTTGCTCTTCTGCTGCACCATGCTCCCAGGAAGCAACGGCGCGCACACTCGATCAACGTTCGATCCAAATGACTCCGGACCTGCGCGCACCTGCCGCAGCATCCCCACAAACGCCGCCCCTGCGCAAAACATCGGCAGCCCCCCCCGCCATGAGCTGACCGAAGCCCTTCTACCGACCGTAAGCCTCCCTAGGGCAGACCCTACTCAATGCCCTCGGCGTCCCACAGGTAAGCCCTCCGGGAGCGCCTGGGCCCCCCAAAGACCACCCCTGCTTCACACCCGAGGGTGGCCCCAGAATAAGCCCTAGAGGTGAGCCTAGGGCAAGCCTAAAAGTAAGCCCCAGGGGTCGGCCCTAGGAGTAACCCTAAAAAGTAGCCCCAGAGGCAGCCCCGAGGCGAAGCCCTAAAGATGAGCCCCAGAGGCAAACCCGAGGGACAAGCCTCCAATAACCCTAGAGGTACGCCCTAGGGGTCAGCCCTAGGGGTCAGCCCAGGGTAGCCCTATGTCTGCGCCCCAGAGGTTGCCCTGGGCGCAGGCCCTAGGAGTAAGCCCAGTGTCCACCCCCAGAGTTAATCCTTCAAAGTGCGCCCTAAGACTAGCCGTAATATAGCCCTGGAGAACCCCAGAGGTAGCCCTAGGGCAAACCTCCCCAGGGATCCTCCCAGGATGCACCGTAGGGCTCAGCCCCCACGGTCGTCCAGGGCGCACACCCTGGGGGTAACCCTGCATCGGCCCTAGGAGCAGACCCCAGGGGTAAACCTAGAGGTGGCCCATCCTTCGCGGATCATGAAGCCCGCGCGCCGACCCACCAGATACCCTCTGCAATATCCCAATGGCACCCCCACCCACCCACCCCACCCCATCCGAAAGAATCACCTCTGCGCGCGCATGCAGAACAACGGGAGGCCACGAACCCAGAAAGCCCTCCCTCCACCCAAAGCAGATCACAGGAAACCCAAGCACCCCCCCAAAACGGCGGCGATGCAGCACGTGGTTCGTCGCACGCATTCCTCCCCTGGACGCAGAGCACCTTCAAATGCAGGCAATCGAGCATATACTGACAGATGCGCAAGTGGAAAGGTACGTACCGACAAAAGAAACGCATTCACCCCGAAGACGCACTCCTTGTGAAACAGCATTGGCCGAGCGAACGAGCCCGGAGATGTTGCCAAGTGCTGATGCGCGGTGAATGCCCATGGCCCTCGTGGACATTCTCCCCCTGGTCCCCGCGCTGGGACATGGGGGCCCCGAGGCGGCCAAAAGGCACGGCAGACCAACTCGGCAAACGAGCAGAACAACCACCAGCGCCCAATCTGGACCTGCTCCGGACACGCACCTCGCGAAGCGAAAGGAATCCCCACCGCGCAGACAACATCCTACCCGCGAAGCGCCGCCGCGCCCCCCCACCCCGCCCATGGAATAACCACAGCCTCGCACGCAAGAGCGCTGACAGCTGTCATGGGGACCCACCGAGCCGTAAAAACACACGCGACCTCATGGCGCACCTAGCCCTACAAGCCCTAGCAGCGCCCATCTCGTTACCCACAGGCACACACACACGCACACACACGCACACACCAGGATGCACTAAACACCCTGACAAACTGTAAGAACCACACCACAACACGACTGCTTATCCAATGGAAGGCTTCAGGCGAAAGGAGAAGGGAGACCAGGACAAGCAAAACGAAGAAATGAAACCATGTTTGGGATCATAGAAACTCCCGGATAATCGACCACCCTTGCGCAGACACGCGGTGGAAGCGCAACGCCCTGGTGGCAATTCTCGAGCTCATCCCGCCGCTGATACGAGAGGACTCCGAGACGGCCACAACAACACGAGAGGTCAGCGACGCAAACCAGCAGACCAAACCACCACAGCGCAATCTTTACGTGGTCCAGACGTGCACCCCCGACATGCGGCGCTCCCAGAGAACTGAGCCGACGAGCTCCACGCAATGCTCGGCCTCCGGAAACTCGTTTAGGCTCCCCCGT